CACGGCAGAGTTAACCAGCTCCGTTGCGAATCTCCAGGCATGGTGCTCAAACTTACACCTGGCCAGTGTCCATCCACCAGTCCTCCTCCTTCACTCGTCTTCCTTTGGTGCTCTTCAGGGTGAGTCTTGGCAACACTCTTTAAGAGAAGAAACCAAAGTCTTAAAGTCTGTCTATGGGGCAGGGGTATCTGGATACAGACTGCTGTGCCTTTTTTTTTTTTTTTTTTGCTTTGCTAATCCTATTTATTTCCAAGAGCTCATCAGTTTAAAAAAATGAAACTCATTTATTTCAAATAAATAATACTTCCATGAGGTTCAGAAAGCCAAAACAATATACAAAGGTTTACATTAAAAAGTTTTTTTGCAAAGAGCTCAACTGTATTCTTTGTTCTTATCTTTCCTACCTTCTTTTTCTTCTTTTACAGATGCAGTATATTCTCAAACTTCTCTATGAATACTACTTGGACTTTTATTTAAAACCTCCTTTAGTTCCCTGCATTAGCTCTGCTTGTCCCATTTATCTTGTGATTTCTCCTTAATGTTCCAGCCTTTCCTCCTGTGTCTAATGCTCCCCTTGTTTCCCGTTCATCTTTTTTTTTCTGTCCATAAAAGTAATGACGGTACATCTTTAATATTAAAGAAATAGGCTATAAAAAAGTTCATTCTCAGAATTGGCTTTAGTAAAACCTCATTCGTGCTCCTTTGTGGGTGCATAATGAAGTTCCATGAGCTTGTTCACCTTCCAGTATTTCTCACTGACCAATTCCAAAGAGAAAGAGCCTTTTAACACATTGAACTGGCCCCTGGCTGTGGCTATGTAAATGGCATACTGCTTCGTACTGGCTGTATCAAGGTTCATCTGGCTTGATTCTCCTTTGCTTCAAAGCTAACCTCATAGCCAGAAGCTTGGCTAAGTGATCAACAGTGGCATTACCTGAACTCTTCATGTATCTTGTCTGTACACCGTCATCTTTTTCCATAAACGAGGGATGAAGCCTCAGTACTAATTCAGTTTCACTAGCATGTCCATTACTGGGTCAGATGCCACTTTTGCATTGCTGTTATCAAGTTCAAGCCCAGAATCATCAGATGTTTTGGTCTGCTTGTTACTAGATCCTGCTTCCAATTGCTATACATGGATGTTTTACTGCAGTGAGAGCTGTCTCCATTGACTTCTGCTTCACTATAATTTTCAATCTCTTACCTCACTGTGGTCTGTTCACGGCCTATGTCTTCAGTCCTTTCTCAATGCTGTGACTGAGTGCTTGCTGAGGGTTATGCTTGTTGATTCTAGCTAGCGCTTTTTCTTGATGAGCTTCACACTCACCACGACTTGGTTAAATTTTGCTGATGAGTGCATCAAAGTTTAGGTCTGATCTTAGTGATCTTTTGGAAACTAGCTTTTCCTGACAGGTTGTTGTTCAGTTGCTCAGTCGTGTCCAACTCTTTGTGACCCCATGGACTGCAGCACACCAGGCCTCCCTGTCCATCACCAACTCCCAGCGCTTGCCCAAACTCATGTCCATTGATGCCATCCAGCCATCTCATCCTCTGTCGCCCCCTTCTCCTCCTGTCTTCAATCTTTCCCAGCATTGGGGTCTTCTCTAATGAGTCAGTTCTTCGCATCAGTTGGCTAAAGTATTGGAGCTTCAGCTTCAGCATCAGTCCTTCCAATCAATATTCAGGGTTAGGATTGACTGGTTTGATCTCCTTGCAGTCCAACACCACAATTCAAAAGAATAAATTCTTCGGTGCTCAGCCTACTTTCTGATGGGTAGGGCATTCTTTATTGCCACCTCTGAGGGCTGTGACAATGCAATATGCAAAAAAAAGATATAAACACTCTTTTGTAGTTGTGGTATCCTTCAACCTATCCAAACAAACTGGGCACATTAATTCACTGTGTAGACTTCAAGGTGAAACCACAATTTCTAAGCCATCTGTTATTGTCTCCTGAGGTGTTCGTTCTAATTCATATAAACTGTGTTCCCATGTTTTGCTTAATGGCTGAGTTCCATCTGTCTGCACAACCGGAGAAGTTGCAGCTCCTGCCCCAGCCCGGGGCTCCACTGGCCGCAGCTGGAGCAAGGCTCGGGTACAAGCCTCAACGCACACTAAGGCAAGCCTCAGCTTCTGCAATGAAACTCTCTCGTTCATCTTTTGAAATGAGGCAACGAAGTTTCACTGGGAGTTGCGTGTATGAGCAGACCTCATCCACGGGCAGATGTTGCTTAAAAGTGATGGGAGAGAAGCTGCTTATGAATCTTTGGTGGGGGGTGGGGGTGGGGGAGAAGGGGCCAAACACCGAACTGCTAAAGGCCTGACTCTGAGGCAGTAACACCCAACTAGCTGTCCTCATTCTGTCTAGATACTTTGTTCAATTTCTGTAAAGAAGAAATGTTTTGTTTTTAGACTGGCAAGTAAACATTTGGCTGCCGGATAGTCTCCATGAAGGAGTTTGGGGTCAACGCTTCACTGTACGGAGCTTCAGTGGTGAGGCCTGCAAAGGAAGGACATTGCTAAGAGAGACAGCGATGAGTGAAGACCAGCTTGGAGCAGGGAGAAGACCCCTCCCCCTGTACACAGTGTCTATACCTGCAGGCAGCAGGGAATGCAGCTGGCGCTCCCCAGGGTCAGCCCTCAGCCAGGGGATCGGAGTCCTCAGAGAAAAGACCCAACATCCCGCCCTTTGTCCTTGGAGGTCCCATGCTTGGAGTGCCGGGCAGGACTGAGCCCCAACACGCTGATGAGATCCTGCACGTGGCCTTTCTTCACCTGCCCTCTCACATCCCCTGGGCCACCTCCTGGGGGTCCCATCAGGTGATCCACCTGCACCCACGTTTGCCTCCAGCTCTGCTTTCGGGGAACCCCCAGCTAACACACATCTCATAAAATAGTTGACCAGCCTGGATGGGAAAGGAACTGTGGGGAGAACAGATACACGTGTATGTTGGTCTGAGTCCCTTTGCTGTTCATCTGAAACTATCACAACATGGTTAATTGGCTATATGCCAATACAAAACAAAAAGTAAAAAAAAAAATAATAAAGTGACAGGCATGAAAGCTCCCATGCCTGCAGTGACAGTGACCGCCTCGGGAGTTCACAAGGTGTCAACTTCACTGCCCACTTTTCCGTCTATTCCTTCTGTTCCTTGTGAACCCTGTGTCCTGGGCACATCTGACCAACTCCAAAAGCACAACTTTAATAACAGAGACTCTTCTAATGTCTACCCAAGAGAGATGAAAACGAAGGTCCGCCGAAAGATCTGACACAAGTGTTCACAAATGTTCTGCAGCTTGACTGCCAACAGCCAGGAGGTAGACGTGACCCAAATGCCATCAACAGATGAGAGGACCAGTGTGTGTCCACTCACATGATGGAGAACCACCCCATCTTGAGAAGAAGTGAAGCGCTGCCTGCTGCCCTGGGTGACCTTGGAAACGTGTTGGGTGACCGACACACATGCTGGATGGTCTCTGTTACAGTAAATGTCCAGGTGACAAACCCACAGACAGGAAGCTGATTCATGGTCGCTCAGAGTTGAGTGGGAACAGGAATTAACTGAAAGGGGCAAAAGGGATATTTTGAGGTGATGGAAATATTCTAAAAGTGGGTTACCCAGATGGCTGTGAAAGTGAAAGTGTTAGTTGCTCAGTTGCATCCAACTCTTTGCAACCTCATGGAGGACTCCTCTGTCCATGGAATTCTCCAGTCAAGAATACTGAAGTGGGTAAACATTCCTTTCTCCGGGGGATCTTCCCGACCCAGGGATCAAACCCAGGCCTCCTACATTGCAGGTGGCTTCTTTACTGTCTGAGCCACAAGAGAAGCCCACTGATGGCTATACAGTTTGGTAAATGTACTAAAAATCACCAAATAAATACATTTCAAACAGGTGAATTTTTATGCTTCTTTTTTTATTGAGGTACTAGTAACGTACAATATTACATACTTACAAGTGTACAGTAGGGATTCACAAGTTTTAAATTATTTTATTTATTTTATTTTTGGCTGTGCTGGGTCTTCATTGCTGCGTGGGCTTTTCTCCAGTTGCAGCGAGAGGAGCGACTCACCAGGCGTGGTGCACGGGCTTCTCTTATTGCAGAGCACAGGCTTCAGGGTGCACAGGTTTCAACAGCTGCAATCCATGGGTTCAGTAGTTGTGGCTCATGGGCCTAGTTGCTCCGTGGCATGTGGTATCTTCCCAGATCAGGAATCAAACCCATGCCTCCTGCACTGGCAGATGGATTTTTTTTTTTTTAACCCCTGGGCCACCAGGGAAGCCTGTGATTCACAATTTGTAAAGGTTTTACCCCATTGATAGCTATTATAAAATATTTGCTATACTCCCCGTGTTGCACAAGATAGCCTAGTAGCTTATTTCATACCTAATAGTTTGCACCTCTTAATTCCCTATCCATCTGTTGCCCCTCCCTCTGCCCTTTCCGCACGGTAACCACTGGCTTGTTCTTTGTATATGTGAGACTGCTTCTTTTATGTTATAGTCACTAGTTTGTGATATTTTTTAGAATCCACATACAAGTGTCATCGTAAAGCATTTGTCTTTCTGACTTATTTTACTTAACATAATGCCCTCCCAGTCCACCCATGGTCCTGTAAATGGCAGCATTTCATTACTTTTAATGGCTGAGTATTTTTCCATTGTACATATGCATCACAGCTTCTTTATCCATTTATCTGTCAATGGACACTTAGGTTGCTTCCACACCTTGGCTATTCTAAATAGCACTGCTATGAACATTGGAGTGCATGTGTCTTTTCTAGCTATTTTTTTTTAACACAGGTGAATTTTAATTCAGATGGTGAAGCCACCCATGGGCGCCCACCGGCTCCCTGGGATGGCAGAGGGAGGGGGCAGTGGGGCCTCTTGGGGAGCCCTCAGGGCCACAATCATGCCCCTGTGCCCGAAGGCAGCTGCTGGGCCATCGCTTCCCACCGCTGCCTGCAATGTGGCCTCATGGCCAGGCCTTCCTTGCTGTCATTTCTGTAACTCAAACAAGAAGAACTTAAACAGAAAGGCAGCCGAGAGGGAGCCCCACACGGGGTCCTGGCTGCAACAGGAAGATTCTGTCTGGAGCCCCCGCGGCTCTCTGCGTGTGCACGGAGGCGGCGTGGCAGCCACACTCACAGCGGGCATCTGTGCCCCGCAGGTGCCCTGGATGGGCTGTAACCCCAGGGGCATGTCTGCAGAGAGGGGAGGGCAGCCCGGCTGCATTCTGCAGCCTCCCTGTGCCACCTCCCCCAAGGCCTGCAAAGTTCTCCCGCCCACCCCCTAGCCCACCAGTGTGGGAAGCACCAAGGCGGTAACCCCCATCCCAGCCCTTCCTCAAGGCAGGGCCTCTGCCTGCCAGTCACTCCCCGCCACCACCACCACCCATCACCAGCCCCCACCTGGGGCAACCACCCCAGGGGCCAACGCCCCACACACAGGAGGGTGGAGAGGGTGATGACTGGTCCCAAAAGCACAAGGAAGAATCGTGAAGCGGGAGCTTGAGCAGCATCCTTCTATCTTCTTAACGTTATTTATCCAACTTTATATAAAAATAAAAGGAACTTTGAAAAGCAATTTTTTTTTAGCCATTTAAAGCTTGATTCTAAGTGTAAGTAAATTCTCTCAGACTGTTAAAACTGCAATTACTGATTTTGTGTGAATGATTCTTCTAACACTTTAAACTTCTTGCACAGCAAAGCAGACAAAACACACTCAAATATAATTATCACCAAAATTATGGCTACAGTTGCACAAAAATAGCTCCTAATCCATCCTGTTCACTTTCATTTTTGTGTTTATTTCCAGACTTGTTTTTAAACCCTCCTAACTTAGACCCCTGCTTGTTGTAAGGTCTTCTTGGAACGTGAGTAATGTTAGGTTGACACGTCCTGGGGCTGTGGAAGTCCTCCAAGACCCAAAGGGAAAGCATTACCTGCTCAATCAATATTGTGATCCTGGGATGAACCATCCACCCATTGGTTGAATTTTTACTTTTCAAAAAATATTTATTCATTTATGTATCTATTTCTTCGGCTGTGTGGTATCTTAGTTGTTGCACTTGGGATCAATCTTCACTGAGGCCTGTGGGATCTTTTAGTTGTGGCATGCAGGTTCTTAGTTGTGGCATGAGGGATCTAAGTTCCCTGACCAGTGGTCAAACCTTGCTTTGGGATCTCAGAGTCTTAGCCACTGGACAACCAGGGAAGTCCCAATTTTTGACTTTTTGTTAGGAAATTGTCAAATATTTATCAATGTCAACAGAAGAGCATAATAAACATCCCAACGCCCATCATGCTCACGGCCATTGTCAACACTGACCAATGATCCATGCCTCTGTCTACACCTGCCTGTCATGTGCAAAGATCCTGAGGCGGGAGTGGACCCGTGTGCTCCAAGCTTGGCTGCTGGGGGGCTCGGATCCTTGAGGGCCAGGGTGAATGCAGTCCGGACATCCCTCAGGTGGTGCTCTGAGTGTGCTATAAGCCACCAGAAGGCTCTGGGCCGCCCTGACCTTCTTTACATTATCCAAAGGGGGGCAGAGTTTACAGATAAGCGAAGGGAGAGGCCGGAGTGACTGATGGATTTTCAGTGCAGTTCAGTTCAGTCGCTCAGTCATGTCCGACTCTTTGTGATCCCATGGACTGCAGCACGCCAGGCTTCCCTGTCCATCACCAACTCCCAGAGCTTGCTCAAACTCGTGTCCATCAAGTCGGTGATGCCACCCAACCATCTCATCCTCTGTCGTCCCCTTCTCCTCCTGCCTTCAATCTTTCCCAGCATCTGGGTCTTTTCTAATGAGTCAGTTCTTCACATCAGGTGGCCAAAGTATTGGAGTTTCAGCTTCAGCATCAGTCCTTCCAATGAATATTCAGGACTGATTTCCTGTAAGCAAGGGGGGGGCCTGCAGTGACCCATAGATTGTGGATTAGGTCAGACACAGGGATGTAAACTCAGATGTGGCTCATGAAGATGTAGGTGGTTACACAGAGAAATGTTCACAGATACGTGTCTGCACACGGGTCAGTGTTTCCCCCTTCAGTCAGCTCAGAGGGCCTGGAAGCAATGACCCCAGCAGCAGTGAGTAGGCTTCTCAAATGTCTCCAGTGAAAGGAACCAGGGCTCCTCCTGGAGAAATGGCAGGAGATAAACAAGATGCGCCTGGAGCATTTGTGGTGCCAGAAAGAAGGAACATGCTGAAAACAAAGAACAAAATCACACCCTGATGAGGGTATCAGCATCAGCTCATTACTGTCACAAATGGACCACAGTGATGCATGATATTAACAATAGGTAAGAACAGGGAACCGGCTCAGGACTGAGAAAGGAGTACAAGGCTCTTTATTGTCACCCTGTTTATTTAACTTATATGTAGAGCACATTGTGAGAAATGCCAGGCTGGATGAGCTCCAAGCTGGAATCAAGATTAGCGGGAAAAATATCAACAACCTCAGATATGCAGATGATACCACTCTAGTGGCAGAAAGTGAAGAGGAACTAAAGAATCTCGACGAGGGTAAAAAAGGAGAGTGAAAAAGCCGGCTTAAAAACTAAGATCATGGCATCTGGTCCCATCAGTTCATGGCAAATAGAAGGGGAAAATGTGGAAGCAGTGACAGATTTCCTCTTCTTGGGCTCTAAAATCACTGCAGATGGTGACTGCAGTCAGGAAATTAGAAAACGATTGCTTCTTGGCAGAGAAGCTATAACAAACCTAGACAGTGTGTTAAAAAGCAAAGACATCACTTTGCATTTGTAGATAAATGTCTATATAGTCAAGGCTATGGTCTTTCCAATAGTCACGTACAGTTTTGAGAGCTGGACCATAAAGAAGGCAGAGCGCTGAAGAACTGATGCTTTCAAACTGTGATATAGGGAAAGACTCTTGAGAATCCCTTGGATGGCCAGGACACCAAACCAGTCAATCCTAAGGGAAATCAGTCCTGAATATTCTTTGGAAGGACTGATGCTGAAGCTGAAGCTTCAATAATTTGGCCACTTGATGCAAAGAGCTGAGGCATTGGAAAAGACCCTGATGTTGGAAAAGATTAAAGGCAGGAGAAGAAGGGAATGACAGAGGATGAGATGGTTGGACGGCATCACCGACTCGATGGACGTGAGTTTGAGCAAGCTCTGGGAGTTGGTGATGGACAGGGAGGCCTGGTGTGCTGCATGCAGTCCATGGGGTCTGAAGAGTCAGACATGACTTGGCAACTGAACAACAATAACAACAGGGAAAACTGGGCACAGGGCAGATGGGAACCTCTGCACTATCTTCACAGTTTTCCTATAAATCTAAAATGTAAAGTCTATTTAAAACAAATGGCAGTTCTGACTGCTCGGGGCGTCAGAGTGGAAACATGGGGAGGTGGGGCTTCCACGGGCAGAGAAGCCTCACCACCACTGTCAGGGTCTTCCTCTTGGGGTCGGGGAGGATGTGTAGATCTCGGTCCTGTGGTCCTGCTGCCCCTCCTCGGAAGTCGCAAACCAACAGAGCTGTGTCCTCATGTGTCACCAGGGGAGGTGGTAGTGAGCAGGCCCCTCCCAGCTTGGTGGCCCCAGCCCCAGGTGGGACGTCCGGGGGCAGCCCCTGAATCCTGGGCTGTCCCGGGGAGGTGGGTGGCCTCAGCTGTCCGCTGATGTGACGAGGCATGCAGAGCGGGGTGCAGGGTGACCTGGGGCAGGAGCCCCTGTCACCTGTCGCCTGGGCCACAGACTGGTGGTCCAGGCTAATGCATTCCAAGCCACTTTCGGGCCAGGCCACTAGGTGCTTCAGCTTTTATTTATTCTCAATGCTGCCACCCAACTTTGGGGTCTCACAGAGAAACACCAAAAAATAAAGCATGGTCAGGCTCTTCCCCGGCCCTGAGCCTGCAGGCGACACTCCCCAGGCCCCAGAAGTCCTGTCCCTGCTGGATGTCTGGCCACAGGCCCCATCAGCCCTGGGTTCTCAGATGCTGGCTCCAGGACTGGGCAGCGGGATGTGCCCACCTGTATTTTGAGCCCCCAGGAGCAGCCCAGCTTCTTGCAATCCCTGGGTCCCTGGCAGAGGAAAGCCAGCGGAGGCCCCAGCCGGGACGCCCCTCTGCTCCCCAGGGTGTCTCCCCATCCTCGACAACCCAGGAGTGGCTGCAGTTGGGTCATCACCCAGCTCCCAGACTGGATTTTGAGAGCCGGGTGGGATTAACCTTCCAGGCAATTGGCTTCTAGGTTTCCACGGGGTGGATTTACATCTGCTGTCACTGAGAGTGTTTGCTGTGCCCTGAGGTACTAACTCATGAGAACACAGAATAGATGGTATTTATTTATTTGTTAGCTGTGCTGGGTCTTACCTGCAGCACGAGGGATCTTGGTTGCATCGTGAGGGATCTTTTCAATGTGGCACACAGACTCTATTTTTGGTGAACGGGCTTAGTTGCTCCACAGCATGTGGGATCTTAGCTCCTCGACCAGGGATTGAACAAGCATTCCCTGAATTGGAAGGTGGATTCTTTACCACTGGACCACCAGTTTATGTGGTAAATTACCACACATAGAGGTAATTTAAAGAGAAAACAAATTACTGAGGTGTGCTGCAGTCCATGGGGTCGCTAAGAGTTGGACATGACTAAGCGACTTCACTTTCACTTTTCACTTTCACTCATTGGAGAAGGAAATGGCAACCTACTCCAGTGTTCTTGCCTGGAGAATCCCAGGGATGGGGGAGCCTGGTGGGCTGCCGTCTATGGGGTCACACAGAGTCGGACACAACTGAAGTGACTTAGCAGCACCAGCAGCTGACGTCTTATATGAATGATCAAAAGAATTTTGCAGCTTCTGGGCTGGAAGGCAAGTCCCTCAGAGAGGCAGGGTGGGAGTCTGGTACAGCCCCAGAATTGCCAGCTCAAGCTGGGGAAGTGGGCAGGACAGAAGGCCCTTCCTCAAAACATACCCAGGGTATCCACCATACCACCATGAACATGCCTGATCTCGTCTCAAAACAGACCCAGGGAGGGACTTGGGACAGGTGGCCAGCCACCCACTGAGGGCCTGGAAGCGCGGGCCAAGAGGCCAGAAGAGGCGGCCTTGTGAACACTTGGTGGCTACATGCTCCTTGCAGTGAGGCTGCCCCGAGGGCAGCTATGGACATGCCTGGCTCTCTACACGCCTTTGGAGGTGGGACGCACGGGGCTGAG